CTTTGGGAGGCCAAGGCGGGAGGATCACGAGGTGAGGAGATCGAGACCATCCTGGCTAACACAGTGAAACCTCGCCTCTAATAAAAATACAAAAAAAAAAAAAAAAAAAAAAATAGCCAGGCATGGCGTGGTGGCGGGCGCCAGTGGTCCCAGCTACTTGGGAGGCTGAGGCAGAAGAATGGAGTGAACCCGGGAGGCAGAGTTTGCAGTGGGCGGAGATCGCACCACTGCACTCCATCCAGTCTGGGCGACAGAGCAAGACTCTGTCTCAAAAAAAAATTAAAATAAAAAAATAATAAAAGGCTCAAAAAGATTAATAAAAAGCTGGCTGATTAGAAAAAAAAAAAAGCACCAAAAAACTCTCAGAAATGAAAGATATAATTGTAGCTCAAAACTCAATGGACCATTTTAACAGCATGTTTGAAACTGGTGAAGAAATTATTAGTAAACTTCCAAGTAAAATTGAAGGAAATTATCTATAATGAAACCCCCACATTATAAATAAAAAGACAAATGTATGAAACATAAGAGTCCTTGAGAACAAAGTAAAAAGATTTAACATGTATCTAATAAGAGCTTCATAAAGAAAGAGAGACAGTGAGTTATTTCCCAAAATGATGAAAGAAATCAATCCAGTTTCAATAATTCCAAAGAAAAATAAGTCGGACAAGTAAAAAGAAATATGGACTTAGATAAATCATGATAAAATTGTTGAACATCAAAAACTAAAAGATCAGACGAGATCGGGCGCGTTCACACCAACATGGCACAAGTATACATATGTAACAAACCTGCGCATTATGCACATGTACCCTACAACTTAAAGTATAATAATAATAAATAAATTTACCTAAAAGATCTTTAAAACAGCACACCAAAGGCATATTAACCTCAAATGAACAGTAATTAGACTTCCATTCATTTTTCAATAGTAGCATTGTTTGATAAAAGGCCCCAAAATGGTAAGTTCTATGAGGTGAAAAAATAATAATAATCATTGCCAAGCCTGAATTCTACAGTTAGTGAAAAAACTTTTCAAAAGTAAAAAAATGGAAATAAAAATAGTTCAGAAACAAAAATTAAGATAGTCTGGCAATAACAACAAAAACCCCTTTCTGAATAAAATTTTATTTATTCCAAGTAGAACTGCTTCCACATGGAAATTGCGACATTGAAAAAATGGACAAAAATGTGATTTATTCACATTTAGAATTATTTAGAATTAAATTATTCACATTTAGAATTATTCTATGACACAAAACCCACTCACACTGATATTCTAAATGACACAAACCAACCCATAATACATACGCCAAAATTGGCAGGTCATCTGTAATGAAAACTGGCACATGAGTTCAGAATTACTTATTTAAATCACATGGCACACTCAACTCTGCAACTCTGAAGGATTATAGCCTGTGTACCTTCTAAGAATGTAACAGAGATAGAGGTGGGTGGGTGTGTGTGCATGCGTGTGCATGTAGAGCTTCATTAAGATATAATTCACATATCATATGTATACCAATTAATTTAGAACACTGATTTTTGATCACTCAAAACAGATACTCCATCACCACTGGTAGTCATTATCCACTTTTATAAATACTCCTCACCTATTTTTGCCCAAATCTCCAAACCAAGTCCCAGAAAATCACTTATCTATTTTCTGTTTCTATATACTTGTCTATTATGGACATTTTCTAAAATATTCCTCCTAAGTGTAATTCTGTAACTTTGGAGACATGCTGGTCAAAGGATATAGAGGTTTTCTTTTGTTTTGTTTTAAAGCTTTGTTCTCTTGAGCACCATCTTATGGCAGATAGATAAGTCAATACTCTTGAAATGGATAGAGGGGTAAATACTTATTATCCAACAATAAAGATGAAGGAACTGACCTCGTGTACCAAGGGAAACCTGAAATCTTATCACCACTTTTTGTTGCATATAACTAAATCTTTACATTTTTAAAAATTACTGGGTGATAAATTATGAACTTTCTAACATTTTTTTTCTTCTACTTACTTCATTAATATAATAGGAGAAAACTCAATCAACTTAACATAGTAGATTATGTATTTGGACATTAGCTTCTAGGCACTGGGGAGTAACTACAGTTACTGAGCAAGGAAGTCAGAATTTCAGCAAAGCTTTAGAAAATTATTCTGGAAATGATAAATACTTTGTTTGATAAGAGTATAAACCATTCAGCCATTGAAACTAAAAGGCAAGATGGAAAGCAGAAGCACCAAATCTATGGGTTACATTTCTGCTTACATTTCTGCTTTTCTGCTTTGTAACAGCTGTAATATATGTGTGTGTATGTGTGTGTGTGTGTACTATATATATACAATATAGAGCCCTCTCGATCATACATACATACATACACACATACAAACACAAACATATCAAGGTAACTTTCTTATAAATGCAAACATTATTATCAATAATTTCTGCTACTTCGATTTTGTTATTCCTTTAACTTCCAGTTACTTTTAATAAGGATCTATCACAAATAAAAAACTTTTCTTTTACATCGTGTCATTTAGTCAGCTTTTCTGTAACATATATTATACATTTATTTATCTATACACAAAAGCCACACTAATCTGAGTATACAGATTTTATAAACACATGCAAAATCATGGAAAATCGATGGCTTACAATTTGATGTAAAAGTTTTAAAGAGAACATATCGCTATTGTTTTAAATAAAGGATCCCGAAATCAAGGAACACTGTTTAAAACAGCCATTTATTTCACTATATTATAGACTGATCGCATGCATTCTCATATAAAGTAGTGTTTTTTAAAAGAAAATCTATCAAGAAATATAACCCAGTATTCACAGTTTGATGAATCTGAAATGTGTACTTCCAATTGAGAGATACAATTGCAAACAACAGCCTGCACAAACCAAACAGAGAAAAACTGACTGAGGGGGGACAATAGCGTTGAGTGTACCTTTCAAAACTAGAGCTGTAATCCAGTTTGCAAGAAAATGAAGAATGGAAGTATTGGCCTAAACTCCACTGAATCTCAGAAGCCTAACACAATACAAAACAAGTGACATCCTTTTCTCAAAGAGGCGCAAGGCTCATTGAGTCTGGTGATTCAATTACTCTCTCAACCTGGAAAGAACCCCCTCCTGTGTTGAGGTCCACTGGCAAAGCAATGTGGGACAGACTACATTGTACACAGCTGGTAAATATCTAAAAAGCTACAGGCTTTAAAGAACAACAATTTTTGACCTTTTATAATTGCTACAGTGATTCTCCAACAAAAAATTACGAGAGTTTTTTTTTTTTAATGTTTAACAACACATTATCTTCTCAATTAATCGTCTTCAAACATCTCATATTCATATAAAAATATTTTAAATAGATATCTAAGCACAATGTACCATTAGGTAAAGAATATGAACAAATTAATGAAACAGAAAGTGGATTTCCAAAAATAGAGATGACTGTGATCTTGCTTAGACATTTTATAAACTTCTCTAAGAATCCCTTTTGTCTTTTTTTCTACATATTGTGTAGACCCTGAATAAATGAAGTGTGTACTCAAAATAACTACTGATTCTGAAATATCTACGAAAAACCTCGGGAAGCATGGATCTTCTAAGATAGGCCGTCATAATTCTCATATTTCCTCATGCTTGATATGAAGAGTGTGAACTTAGATATATGTTTAGCGAAAATACTTTAGACTTCAAACTTTGGACACTCCTTTTCTGATGAGATCTTTATTAAAAATATGATTTTATAAATAGCAATTTATTTCCAAAACAGCAATCACTTCTATAGTATTTACCATATTGAATGACTAGGGAAACTAATAATTCCACATAAAAATTGTTGAGTAACCACTATATTAGACATTTTCATATGAAAATATTATTCAGTTTATACAGCAACTCTGTAAGTTAGATGCTACCTTTCCCTTCATAAGTGAAAGTAAGGAGGTAATTTTCCCCAGTTTCACAATAAGTGGTTTATCTAAAAGTTCAAACCAGACTTCAAATCCTAACAAATTTGACAATTCAGATTTAAATCTGACCATGCAGGAATAATTTTTAAATTCTTTCAAAACCCTAAATTGATATAAAAGTATTTATCACTTTTCTCCTAAATTAACTATTTTAAGTACTTGAAATATTAAGAACAAATCTTTATATGTAAAAAGGTACCTGGCTGTTGAAGCAGTAAGGAGTTAAGGTATCTTTACAGCATTTTAGAAAATTAGTGTTAAACGTTGTGAAAGGATTCTCTGTATCTTTATCGGAGACTTTCTTCAGCCTTTGTTCATCCTTAAAGGATTAGACACTTGGGCAAGAGCTCACAATGCCCTCTTCACAAAAACAATAGGTACTATTAATTATTCAATCAATCAACCATTCACTTCGTGAATGAAAACTGGACTTAGACTTACATTGAGTTTTTAAAAAATTAAAGATCAAAATTCCTTTTGTTCTTCTCAAACCCATATAAGCCATTTTTTTTCTAATTTTTGTTGTATTTTTTTTTGCTACAACTCTATGAGTCATTATGAATTATTTCAAATCTTAAACAAATTAACTGAATTTTATAGATAAAGTCTATTCCCTTGAAATATCTGTGTGCTAGACTTACTATCAAAGCATACTTTCATAGATGTTTCACAAATCATGTGTTTTGATGATCAATGACAGTTCCTGTCTATGAGTATTTAGCAAGCATAAACTAAAGTGAATCTATTCAGGGTCCTGAATTTTAAAAATCAATTCATTTTAACACAAACTAATTTTCAAAACAGAAAACAATGAACATGGATTTTCATGATAAATCACAACTTGGAAGTGCTTAATTAATAAATGTGCCACATTTTTAAATGCCTACAGAAGTCATATTTAATGCTTTAACTGGATTTGCTAAGACAAGCTGTATGTTGTATCCACAGATAATAATAGAGAACAAGATCAAATACTGTTATTATTTTCATTTGCGGAGTTAAATCTGAATTTACCTTGTTTGCAATACTTGTGATGAATGATTTAATATCAAGATTAGTTGGGCAGCTCTTCTGACAGGGGGCATCTGCACATTTCAGGCATCTAGGAAATAAAATAATTATGTTAAGAAACTACAAGTGAGATAATCTATATATTTTCTACCTTATACTCATTCAGAGTGTGTGTCTAGTAAGTATAAATAAAATTGTATCATTTTTAAGTACAAACATTTTTAAGCAATAAATACAAAGTTTCTGTGTTTCACCTTTGGCACTCCTCCTGGGATGCATAAATGAGAATCATGCTGGCTAGTAACTGCCCCTCCTCTCAGAGTTCCTTCTTGATTTTAAGAGAATCATACTTATTTAGGACATACTATTCCTTCACTCTATCAGTTTTGCTTGATCCTTCACTATGCTGACAATACTTGCACACAGTTTTTTATGATAAGGTTTGTAATTCTTTTAGACCAAAATTATTATACAAATGCAAAGATCAAAGGTAAAGTCTTATTTTACCACTGAAATATCCTTTCTTCCACACTTCCCTCCTTCCAGCTTCCCTCTCTACCTCTCTCTCTTTCCAATCTTCTGAAGTCTTTCAGCCTCCATCCCATTCACATGACAACTGAGTTCTGAAATAGATGCTTCAAAGCATAGCCCAGATCCACCCCCTTCAGGACCAAAGCTCTATTCCCACAACTGCCTTCCCTCTGCTGCTGAAGAGAATGGGCTCCAACAAGGTCAGCCTCCGTTCCAGTAGCAGCACACATCCAATTCAAGGCCAGTGAGTGGGGTTACAGGATCGCTACCCATTCCCATATTTGGGGAACTAGTCTGTAAGGAGCCACTGAAGCATTTATTGTGACTATTTGCTCAACCCCACTTCCTTCACTCTTCTACAGATGTTAACCTGCATATAAACTTCCTGCATATTAATCTCATCTCAGACTGTCCTTCCTGGGGAACTGGTCAGAGATTACATTTCAACTTTGTTGCACCTAAGAACCACCTGGGAAGCTTGATAAATGGCATAGACTTCACAGAGGAGCCCCTCCTGAGTCCAAGTGACTGGCCTGGGAATCTGCATTTTGAAAAGGGCCTCTGAAGTGATTCTAGTGTTCACAGTTGGAACCACATTGTTAGAACCACATTCTATAATTATTCATTCAGGACAACTAAAGCCAATGGCCAGACTCATCCTTTATTTGCACATTAACTTGTATGTGTTTTTTTTCATTTATTCATTCATTTAATACATATTTAATAAGCCTCCATTACATAGCAGAACCTGGGATATGAGAATATAAAAGTGTTGGAAAAAGATCACCATGGTCCTGATATCACAGAACATGCAGTTTGAATGAAGTACAGACACAGAAAAAATCACACATTGTTCAATGTGGTCAATGAGAATTTGGGTGAAATATAGCATGCTAAGGGAACACAGATGAAAGACAGTAGGCCTGGAGGGAGATAGGACACGCTTCTTGGGAGGAATAATACTGAAATAGAAGCTTGAAGAATGAGTGGACATTAGGAAAGCAAACGACAGTGGGATTCTGAGTGCAGGGTCATTCAGGATAATTAACCAAGAATAGAAAAAGTATGCACCAGTGCCTGGAAAAAAAGAACGTGACAGGGTAGGTAAACTAATGAATTTGGTTTACTATAAAGTGAGAGTGGGAGTAGAAAGAAATGAGTGTGGAGATAGACAACTAAGGAAAATATACTACTGCCACATGTGTCCTAAAAACAACATTCTCCAAGAATTTCACTAAGAATGAATCCTACATTGCTCAGTGACAAAGGTGACTAGGTAGCTCATTTTCTATACACTTCTATGTGTAAAGACTTGGTTCATTTCCTTCATGAAAACAATACCAGTCTCCTTGTCATTCTTTTGTGAGCAAGAGAGCCCTCTTCATTGTCTGAACCAATTTCTCAGTACCTAATTAATATCTTGTTTTTAAATCTGATCTCTTTTCTCTGGTTTGTGCCCTTAGCCTTCTCTCTAAATTAAATTTTACACAATGAGTACCAAAGGCTTTTCATAATCAATTGTCCTCTCTGAAATGTAGTCATTAAACCTCTCCCCTATCATTTCTGTAAATGCCATTGTTAGATTCACATCTATCATTTAGTTGAATTCCTGTCTGCTCATACTTAACGTTTTTTCCCTGAAACACTATGGTTGAGTTCAAAATAATTTCTTCAAAGTATAATCTGCAGCATACATTGCAAACAATATAAAAATCTCCATAATGTATGGCCTATTTGGTCCTTGATGTTAAAATGAGGTGATATTTATATGTGTAACTGTCATGTGGATAAATATACTGAGCATTAATAGTGGTTTGAAAGGATTTTCTTTTATGCTGCAATATAAAATAGCTAAAAAGAAATAATAAGCCAACTTAAATATCTTATTATTGAAAAAATGTCTTTTCAACAGTTGTAAAAATATCTGCCATTACACAGGAGTAAGTGCGCACACACACACACACATATATATATATGGCACATCATATGAATTCTGGTTATCCCTATGAAGTCACAAGTTTCCTGCTTTTCTTTTTTCTAACACCCAGCTTGAATAATAACACAATTAAAAAATAAAGTTACAATGTCAGCAGGTACAAGTGAACGAAATTAATGTGCAGTGTATTTTTCTGTTCTTCCAGAGAAATCTTATATTCAACATAAACAGATTCACTTAACAGCATTGACAATGTAAGGATTTTTAGTTGTGGTTATTAAGCCTCTTTACCAAATAATTCTCCTTTTATTATTGAGCTAGTTCACAAATAACAGCTGTTGAAAATGTCAGATGTTAATGAGGCAGGGCCACGCAAACCTGAATTGTAGCATTCTTTTTTCCTTTGGTGTCATGAATATGCCAGAATGGGCAGACTCTGATAATAATACCATCTTGCAATTCTCTAAGCGCTCTGCAGACTAAAGTGCATCAGGCTGCCATTAATCCCACTTATCACTCTGACAGCTCAGTAATTACACTACTGCTATAGCCAGGTAGTCCTAATAAAATATCAACCACTGCACTGGAATGCATACTGGTGAGATGTTTTATTAAACTTTGAGGGGTGGGGGTTGATCATCAAGTGACATTAGTGTTGACCTATTTTTCTATTTGACAATAAATTATCCTTTGACCATGCCATAATATATATTACAGAGTGCATTTACTGTACCAAATCAGAAAGGTACTGCATTACAATCATATAGGCAAATGGTGTAAATAAAATACCAGAAATGCATGTCAGAATGTTATTACCTAAATTGTTTTAAATGATTGATACCATGAAAAATCACAGACACAGTACTTAGGGGAATATGTCAACAATTATTGTAAACCACAGTTCCACATAAATTTCTCCTTAAAAGTAAAATTCAAATTACACTTGTTTTCATCTTTAGTCATTTAATTCCCCTTTTACCTTTCAAAGTTACTCTCTTATAGTGCTGTTTATTTTTAAATGCATAAGCAGCAAAAATTAATTCAGATAAACAATTATGTCATTCTTTTTCCCCAAATAGTTGTTATAAAGTTAAAGAAGTGTATTCGATTTTTTTAAACTACAAGGAAACAACTTAGAGTTTTCACTAGTCATACACTTTTTAAATTTTCGTATTTAATACAAAGCGTAACAATGAATTTCACTAAGAGCAAAATATAGAATACTTTATCAATGTTAATCTTTCATGATTCGACATGACCATAAAAAATGTACGAAAACTTAAGTACTGTTACTTAAAGGCCAAAAACTATTAAAGATATATTTATCCATGATATTTCTCTAGAGAAAGAGAAATATGATTCCTCTTTCCAAATATCAGTGAGGCTAGACAGTTTGACTCCATAGTATGACACCAAAAATATTATAGTGAGTAATGAAACAAGCGGCATTTCATTCTTCACACATCTGAGAACAGATGCCTGCTTCTTTTATTGGTAACCATCCACAGCATTTGGGATTGTAACCTATGCTTGTTAAAGAATTTTCTACTCATGAGTTTAAATATCTGAATTAATTTCTTCCTCAGTTAAAAAATAATAGTAATGATAAAGCACATACACACAAATCTATCTGAAACCCTTAAAACTCCCACTGCATTGTCTTAGCTTTGCTAGAGTTTGGTTTAATTGAATCAGCACTGTTTCATCAGGCTATGTAAATATACATTAATCTATATATAATGGCATTAAGCAAGAAAGTATTTACATTAAAAATTAAAATATTTTCCTAATATTAATATTGCATTTCCGTAGATATTTAATGTTCAATATAATCATTTGGAAAGTCTACCTAATTTAGATGTATCAGATGGATTTAAAACTTTGTTTCCCTACCCTATAAGCACCAGTGTAGGAAAATATATAGTTTAGTATCTTCCCCAATGGTGCAGTATGTCTACTGAAAACCGGGCAGAATCAACTATCAAGTTGAAAAGAAATGTGAATAAAGAAATCGAAGTTGGAAGTGTCATACATGTATGAGTTCCACAACTTCTATCCTTTGCTTCCAGACCCTACCATAATAAAAAGAAACAAGAAAGATGGCTGATATCTTTAAAACATGATGGGACTAACTCCATGTTCTGATCCATTAAGCAGTCAAAACAGCCAAAAGCCATCCTCAGCTTCCAATAATTATCTGTCTATTTATACCTCTGTGCTTCTCTTAATAATCCATTAACAGCCCTTCCTATGTACTTCTGACTCTGCTTCTCTGATTACACCACAGGTTCTTAATAGCTTAGGGCTATCTGGAACTAACTTTGAATATTCTTAAATATGCATCTTGCCCCAGCCTTTATTATACTGAGCTGGAATCTATGATAACATCAATAAAAATAACTGAATTTTTAATGCTGTGCAGCATTCCGCCTTTTAACCACACCTATGATGTTCGTGTTTTGAGGCTTTTAATATTTATTTACATGTATAAGTTAATACCAAACATAATTTTAAATAGCTACTTATCTACTAGAAATTTCCTTCTGCACATGGGTGCTTCAAAACGATTCAAGAGAAGCAAATTTAGAACAGAACACAATTCACACAACTGATGCTCAAAATTA